GCTAAGTTATTAGAGGGTATGGGGGTGCTTCAGAAATGCATAGCTTTCTAATACAGCTCAGTTCTGGATCCTCACACTCTACTGGCGTCTTAACAAATAAGGTGAGTTTCTCCTTCTGGATTTTGGCTGGGATCCCATTTGCTGTTTTCAAAGATCCCCAGCCATATACAAGGGTCTGAAAATAACCAAGGCCATGTTGGTCTCTATGTAAATGCTCATTAGGCATGCCTCTTTTCTTTGGATGACAACAGAAAAAAAAAACGAATGACCATTTTTCAATATCAAACTATTTAAAATTAATATAGCCATTTCAGAAGATTTCAGAAACTCTTATAAATAAATAATATATAAATAGTTTGTATTTATTTTTTATTTAGATGTATGGATGAGATTTGGGGTCTGACATTGTAATAGTTTTTTTTTTTTTTTTTAAATCATGCTGAAGAGTTTATTTAGTTGCAGCACTAGAACATTCTAGCAGCCTCCAGAATATGCAAATGATTACTTTGTATTTAATTCCATCTCAACACTTGAACCAGGAGTGATGGGCAGGCCTCTTTAATGACGTGTGTTCGTGACTTCAGCAATTGCAAGGAACTATAATAGGTATTATTTTACAGTAAGGGCTGCTTGGAGACCCTCACTGGGAGTTAGACACTTTCCAGGGCTGTGTGCTGCTTTGTTTAGCTTTACCCTTTATAATCGGTCTGAGACGGCTTTAAGGGATAGGCAGGTGATGCTAAATCAACCCCCTTAAGGAGTTGTGGCCCCCCCTCAGAGAGATCCCAAGAAAACTTTGCACCTCTTCAGGAAGGGCTATAAATAGGGTCCATCTGTCCAGGGGCTAAGTTACAATGCCATTCCTTATAGAATTAGTAAGGAGTCCATGAGTGGGTTAGTTATGGGGGGCTCACATCAGAATCACTGAGGTCTGAACTATGCCGAATCTGTGACCTCTAAGTCAGAATGCTTCTGCTGCTCTGCCTTAAGGTTATCTGAAAATAACGCCACTCACTTCCCGCTCCATTCTTAAGACAGCAGCACATTTCGTTTACCAGAATGCAGTTTGTCCTTTAAGATCTCTTTAATTCTGGAGTCATATAATGAGGCAAATAATACTCTACTCACACTATTTTATATGCAGGATTTGAGAAAACGTCCACGAATGGATACTTGTATCTATGAGTGGTATTTAAAATATATCTAGTCATACATTATGAAGGGCAAAAGTGCTTTTCAGGGGAGTGTTAAAGGCCCCAGCTCAGCTGTACTTCCTGTTATACTCATGTAGATACAAAATACCAAAAAAAAACAGAATAAAAAATATAGGCAAAGAGAGACACAAATACAAGATAACTTACATTCAGTTTTTTTAACCAATGAATTGTGGGTATATACAGATAATATATTAATGTGTATTATTATTTATAATTTAAATATTGCATTTAGATATTGCACATAAATTCTATTACACAATGTCTCTGAAATATAGGCTGTATCTATGAGATAGGTGGCCTGTGAGAAGAAACACATTGGTTGAAAAAAAAAACTAGAGGTGCTATTCTTGAAAACAGTGACCCATATCGATGTCTCTTAATGTTATAAGACACCAATGACTAATGCCTCAAATAGTTTTTCAATATATTTAGACACAGAAAAGACACTCTGTACTAATCACTTTTACTTTATGTGTCATTTTAGTCATAGTTACAACTTGAACATAAGATAGGATAAAAAAATTACCCCACCCAAATTTTACAAACAAAAAAGGGCAGCATGTTATTTATCAGCTAGAAAACATATGCTATCGAAGAAAAACATGGTAATTTCCTCAGCCACACAGTGTTTCACCGTAAGACCTTTTCACCTCTCCTTGGAGTGCCTGTCTCCTCCCTCATGGTTGGCACGTCTTCCCTGTTGCGCTCTTGAAAAGATACTAAATCCGGAGATGTGCGTCACTTTGACATGACACCCTGCAGGCTTTTAACTGTATGATGGGCGTAAGCTCGCTTACCTCATTAGCATAGCTTGTGAAGCTTGAGGAGAGTCAGACAGGAATGTTTTCATATCTACGTTGGAGTAGCATGTTTATGATGAAGGGGTTTTATATTGAAGCTTCACAGATGTTTGGAAAGCTCTATCTTGGGTTGCTGTGGAAAACAGGATATTCTTGTGCAGATCACGATACATCTTCACTGAAAACATATGATTGAATGACGTAAAACAGGCACAGGTGTTTATACTAGTGCTGGGCGGTATGACCAAAAATTTATATCACGGTATTTTTCAAAATTATACCGGTTTCACGGTACATGACGGTATTTTTTTTCATGCATGACCGGGTGTTAACCATATTTTCTACTGATTGAGAGAGGAAATACTGCAGTATATTGACTTAGAATGCCCTATTTTACTGTCATGATGAGTGAATATTGTCAAAAAATACCCTCACCACAGTGCAACAGTGAAAAGGGGCCCCTTTCAAACAGTGTCTCGTTCCAAACGTTGTTTAAGCGACATACACCGGTATTGCGGTATTTAAAAAATTCATATCATAACAAAAATAAACACCGGTATTCGGTATGAACCGGTATACCGCCCAGCACTAGTTTATACTATTGGTTTACAGTATGTTATTTCATTTTACTATGCTTCAGTTCATACATTTAAACATTAAAGTGATAGTCCTCCCCAAAATGAATATTATGTCATCATTCTCTCAGCCTCATGTTGTTCCAAACCTGTATGACTTTCTTTCTTTTTTCTTTGGTCACCAAGTAAGTTGGTGATTAAACAGTTTCAGTCCCCACTGACTTCCATTATATTTTTGACTATACAATAGATTTAATCAAACAGTTTAAGTTTCCCATTGTATTATTTGACCATACTATCGAAGTAAAAAGCAACTGAAAGTGTTCAAAATGTCTTCTTTAGTGTTTCACAGAAGAAAGTAAATCATACAGGTTTGTAAGGCCAAAAGTGTATGGTATGCCAAACCTGATGCATACTAGAGAAGTTATCTTGGGACATCTTGTCTTCCATCAAACTTATTGACTCCTCCCCATCCCAACAACCATACCAAATAACCAAGCAGGCTAAAAGTGAATTAGCTGCTAAAATCATTAAGAGCTGGAGAGGGGGTTGTTGTTTCTGGTGGGCAGGTTTTATAGAAGGTGCTTCTAGATGGCAGGGGTGAGCCCTGATGACAGCTGGGGGACTACAACTGAAAGAGGGTCAGAGAAAGCGGGTCCAAAGGGAAAGCAGGGGGTCGAGAAGGGTGAATGAATATCTTCAGTCTCTACTGGCCCACCTCTGGGGGTGGGGAAAAGGGCCTGCAAGACATATTTAGATGGGAGAGAGGGGAAAAAACTCACTCTGTGCACTCTGAGGGGTAACCGGCATCAGCAGCTGAGGCCTCCTTAAGACTTCCAGACTCCACTAACTCCCTTTCCCAAGAGTCCAGGCTGAGATGAACAAAGACATTTACTCACTCATTGTCACTATCAGCTTTCATTCACTTCACAGTTTGATTTCTCTCTGGCTCTCTGTATCATTTCTCAAACTGTCTGCACTTTGCTCAAACACTTCCATGTATAACATGATGACGGACACTGACGAATTTGGATGCTGGAAGAGTTCCACTCTTCCACAAACATCTCTCTCTGCTCAGATGACTCATAACTGATAAAACCCCTGGGCTCTGAGCACATAGAAGTCTGATGAAACACAGTTTGCATTCTGTTAATGAGATTTTTTATTTCCATTTTATTTTATTTTATTTTTTTATCTTAAATTTTATTTTAAAATAATTTATATAAATAATTTCAGACATCATAGATTGAAATATGATCTGAACACACCCATGCAATGGATTTACATCACCAGTTAAAGTTTAGACCTAGGCCTACTTATTTTTTTCATTTTCCATATATTAGTACGCTAAAAGTGGAAAATGGAACAAAAATACTACATAAAGTAGAGAAGAATAGAACAAAATATCCACAATATAATAGAACAATGTTATCCCAAAAAATGGAAGTATATGTAGCAACCAAAAAATCAAAAGAAATTAAAACTTATACAGTATAGTTTATATCTGCGTATTTTAAATTGTATCCTATTTTGCTTCAACAAAGTAGCCACCTTTCATTCACTCTCATCAAAGTTGTACATTTAGATCATTTATTTAGTTGAGCATTGATGCTTTGCAGACAACTTCCTTGTTTGTTTTTTGTCAGGTTACTTTCACTGAAGTGACAACATACCATGAGACTTTCATTTCTTTTGAGGAAAGTGGTCACATTCTTGCCACCTCTCCTGGTATTTATAGCCATCAGCTGCTGGCATTTCCCATTATTTGAAACATTATTGTAAGCATGTTGCCATTTTTAATCTTGATGTAGACCAAGTGACTCAAGCTACACTAGCTACAAAAGGTTTTGTCAAATAACCTTAAAAAGTGCTTCATGTGGTAACAGCTAACTGAACTCGCTTAAAAAATACATTTAATATGAGTGATTCAACCTGACCAGGAATAATAATTCATGTAATAGTTAAATGTAATAAAAAATGCTGTATATATTGAAAGTGATTTCTGTGTGAGCTGTGCTTCATGCATCTCTATTGACAGCAGGAAATGGGCCTTTTTTTGCTAGGGACATTTCTGTTTGTTTAGTCAAACTTCCGCCTGATGATGAGGCTAAAGAAAACTGCTACGGCGAAAAAACTATGCTATGGTTACACTTTCACCTCGTCTAAACTCTAAAGAATCACATTTACCTCCGAGGAGGACATGGAGCCCGCGTTACATCTCGACTGCGCACGTGAATTATCAATATTACAATCAATACCTTGAAGAAAATTCCCGGGTTGTTGTGTCCCCCTGAAGTTGAAAAGATATTTACGACCCTTGGCTGTCCCCTCGCTTCGCCTCCTTGTCCATTTGGGTCGCTCGACACCTCCCCTCTGTGACCAGCGACCCAATCCGCGCGTGTATCAGTCTGACATCAATTCTGAAGTAAATTATAAGCGTATATAACCATCTATACTTACCTTGAAAATGCTGAGTATCCTCCAAGCTGTGGTCCACTCCCGGTGTTGACTTCCCTCCCGGCGGACAAGTAGACTAAAAAAATGGCACCAAAGAAGGACGCTAAGAAGCCCGAGCCTGCCAAGAAAGCAGAGCCTGCACCTGCCCCCGCTCCCGCGCCCGCACCCGAGGCCCCACCTAAAGCCGCAGCAGTAGATCTGTCCGGTGTGAAGGTAACGACATGACATCAAACAGATAGATGTGCAGTGAAAGTTCACGGAATTTTTTCCTCAGACTTTAAAGTGAATTTATTTATTTATTTACTTACTTACTCACTTAGCCTACTTACTTACTTACGTTTAGCAAAAATAAAAGTTTTTGCCGTTTTTACTAAATTACAAATGAGATTAAAAAAAAAAAAGAAAAGAAAAAAAAAAGTGATAGTTCAGGTCCTGGATGCTGATTGGTTAATACATGATTCCAACTCTACCAAAATAATGTTCTGTTATTATTTACATGTTAGGTAGCCTATTACATGAATTTGCATTTAATGAAGCAAAAAGTCCATTAATTTGTGTTCTAAAGCCTCTCGAGTCGTATTGCTTATTTATGAAAATGCCTGCATTAAGGTTGCGTTACACTTTATAGGCTAATTGCTTTCATAATGTGTTTTACATAAAGAAAATTGTGTGTAATGCAGATTCAAATGGAGCTGTCATAAATGTTTGAGCCATATATCTGAATGTACATAACCTAATTATCTGTTAAGCATATTATATCAGTTAATGAGTTAAATCATTCTAAGCAGTTGCCTAAGGTTGTTCTGGGCCTGATGACTGGAGAAAATATCTATTATTGGCGGATGATTCAGCACCACGGATAGTTCTGTTTTTTGTTTTTTTTCTGCGTAACTACAATCAAACGTAACACCCCTTTTCTGATTGGCCCAGATAGCCAAAAGTGGAGTGGGTCCACATGGCCAAACATGGAGCTCCTTACTGTTCTGTAAGCAGCTGAGGGACTAAATTAAGCATGCCAAGATCTGGGACTCGAAATTTTGATCTATATGTTTAAATTTACAAAACACACTGATCTGTTAAGCATATTATATTATGTTTGACTTATGGGATAGAATAAAAAGTACATCTGTTTTCCTGCAGGTCGATTTCAACCAGGACCAGATGGAAGGTGAGATCATTTTTTATAGGTTCCATGACCCTTGCTTACAAACGTGTATTGAGTTTGGGGTGCGGTGCTTAAAATAATGAAGAATAGGGAAAAAATCCTGCAGAAAGAAAATTAGTTATTAAATATCCTAACTAATTATAATCTGCCTCTAGGCAGGAAGTTAATACCACCAGCAATATTAATTCAAAAGCTTAGAACATTTTAAGTGATTTGAAGTAAGCGACCTGTGTCAAATTCCCAAAGAGCTCTGGGATTTACTTCTGTTGTGGAATAAAGGTCAAGCAGTTCCGTGCAACTTCACAGATAATTTGCACCATTGTCCAGGCCTGCATCTTACTTGGAAGAATGTGGTTGTTGCTCAGTAAGGGGAGCTTTCAGCAGCCTGGGTGTGAGTTACACTGCAGTCAGCATTCTGGCCTCACATGGTACTGCCTTTATATGGAGGGAGTTATATTCTCTTTTTTTTTTTTTTTTACTTTTAATTAGCTACTCCAAAAGTACCTCTAGTCAGCATTAGCACTGTCAGGAGCTTTCACCATGACATATTTCATATTCCTGTTTCTTTAACTGTAATTGGTAGAAGGCTGGTGTGGTAACAGGTGCTTGCAGTGCATTGTTTCACTACATCTGCCCTCTGTGACCCCTCTCCTCACTTTTGACCCCGTTTACAGACATGGTAAACAAGAGAGTCGACTTTGAGGGTTTCCTGCCCATGTTGCAGGTTGTGGTCAACAGCCCAAACAAGGCAACATACGATGACTACGTTGAGGGTCTGCGTGTATTCGATAAGGAGGGCAACGGAACAGTAATGGGTGCTGAGCTGCGTATCGTCTTGTCAACACTGGGTAAGTGGCCAAAATGAACAGGCTGATTGCATTACCACTGCAGTTCCATATCAGTATCTTTGTTGGAAGTGGATTAATTGGAAACAACATGTGACCCGCACCATCCATCCATCCATCTTTCTTTTTTTTCTTTTTTTACCAAGAAACACTAAATGAATTGAATGTGAAAGTCTCTGCTTTGTAATTATATTTATATCTCAGTTGTTCTCAACCTTTTTGACCCTGATATTTAAATTAATGTATATAAGTTTGTTCAGTGATGTTAAGAATTTTTGAAGTGAATAAACCAGTTAATTTAGATGTTACCATTTTTCAGTGTAGTTGAGAACCTTTAATATCATAAAACATTTTGGCAAAATTACCTCTATAGATTTCAAACAATTTTCAGACATTTTTGACAGAATTAGGAGATTTATTCACAAATTGTAATGTTTCTTTCAACATACCTTATTTTTTCATGCTAGAAATTATTTTATTACTCAATTTGAAAGTAAAGACTTTGTCTATTCAAAATATCTCAGTAAAAAAAAAACTGTGAAAATTCTTTATTTTTTTCCACACAAGCAGCTCATTGATACTTAAGAATAAATCATAGATCCGGTCAAACAACCAATATCAGAGTTTAAATACAGAGTTCTGGCATGAAACTCTAGATGGCGCAGTCCGATAGGTCTAGCTCAATCTGACCTGGCGACATCATTGTCACATGGCAGCTGATTGGTTCTCTGATGTATCGGTAGCCAATGAGCTCGCTGCTCAATTTTCAAATACCTGGCTTTTGTTTGAATATTGTTTGAAAATTGGCAGCGCACTTCAGAAACCCTCCACCTTCCCCAGCTCCACCTGTATAGATCTGCTACGAGGTGATTCATGTATGCTATATGGGGGTTATTCATATGTGTTATATGTGCAGCAGCCTTATTTCTTACATGCTTACAGCAGCATGTTGTGGATGTATTGGCAGTAGCAAGTCTCTGTACTTGCTCTGCCGCTGCAGCAGCGTAGCAGATCTATTCCGCCAAGACCAAATACAGTAACATTGTCATGTACATTACCATGCCAATCCCTCCGAGAGTTGTCATGACAGAAATGCATTTTTAATGACATGCATCAGTATTTCAGTCTGTTTAATGACTTGACTAACCTATTTTCCTGTCTTTTTCTACAGGTGAGAAAATGAATGAAGTTGAGATCGATGCTCTCATGCAAGGCCAGGAGGATGAAAATGGCTGTGTGAACTACGAGGGTCAGTTAAAATCCGTTCTTTATCTCACTGAACATTTATTAACCACAGTGAAATTTTTAATGATTAACCGATTTATAGACATAATGTTTGTTTGTTGTACTGTAATTCTAATCCTATTTGATCTCTCCATTCTGAACAGCTTTCGTCAAACACATCATGTCTGTGTAAGAAGTCGGAGTTGTGAGGAAACTGAAGCGTTTCTCCAGATTCCATGATGTCAGGACATCCACACAATGTTTCCAAACTAACTCAGAAATGGATGAAAGGGACATGGGATGTTAGTCATAAACAATTATTTTGTTATTTGTGTTTCCTATTTTTTTCCACTTGACTCCTATTTTTTTTGTCCATTCTTGGAAGCCATTCATATTTTTTTCCAGCTAATTTTCTTGGTGTTGTTCGTGCCGGGACAAGCCTCTCTGTAATGGAACGGTTGTGAGGGGAGGGGGTGTAGGGGGGCATCATAGTTACACAAAAATACAAACCACCCCTTGACCCCTCATTGCCTGGATCGCAAAGTCAAAGGTGCTAAATATACTGTCATTAATGGACTGGCTGCAAAACCTCCTTCCCCTTTCCCCAGAGTCTTAATTTATTTTTTGCCTCTGTCAATTCTCATAATAAACTTTTCACAAAGTATCAGCCTTGTTGTGATTAATGTTCTCATATTCAGCACACAAGGCAGAAAGGGAATGGACAGGTAAGTGGAACAGGTAGGCAAACACGATCGATCATTTAAATAGCATAGCAGAAGTAGACTTTAACTTAAGGGTACAGGGGATTTAAAGGCAACATGAAACCATATTCACTATCCATTTTAGAGGATATTCAACAAGAAAAAAAGGATAGGATGGGACTTGGTGGATTTTATTGATCAGGAATTGACTGGATCAGAAAAAAATAGGAAAGGAAAGGAAAGATGTTTACAATAAGACCAGAAATGTGTATCAAGAAAGTAAATGGGGTTAATTGGTCAGAAATTGAAAGTACAAACATGTCACATTTTGGCCCTGTGACCTGCATTTACAATCCAATATAAGCCAACCATCTACCGTTTATAAATCTGTTGTTAACAAAAGAGAAGCTTGAAGGTTTCCCTGAATAGAAGCTCAATGGTTTAAGGTTGATAAAAGCAAAGTCATACATATTATTCATGTAATTTTACTGTTGTTATGAAAACTTTTTTATTAAACATTAATTTTTTTTGTTTGTTTGACAGTACAATTGTGTTATAACTATAGTAACATATTTCCTTTTTGATTTGTAATTGAATTTAAAACATAATACTTAAATGTTTAATATGACTTTATTATTATTGTTATATTTTATTATTGCTATATTATTATATTATTGCAGTCATATTGAATGGTTTCCATAAAAAAAAGGTGAATGTGACCTGAGACAACTGAAGTGGATGCTACAATCGACTGTAATTTTATCAGACATACTAAGAAAAAGTCAAAATCTTTCAACAGAAATCTATCAACAACTATCTGTAAACACTAATTTCAAAACATGAGGCCTGCAACAAATTATGAATAATGAAAAGTTTATAAATGACAATTACGTTTAAAATGAGTTGCCACAGTTAAGGATCAGTTTTTTTGTCCTAAACCCTTTAATTCACGCATCAGATTTTCACTTACCTTTTTTTTTTTAAATCACTGTAATGTACTGTAACATGGCCTGTAAGGAGCCAGTAATACCACAACCATAAATCATTACACAAGCACAAAATCTGAAGAAAAAAAACAACAACAGATCACACTAATGTTTTGTTGATTTTCTGTATTTTTATTGTCATAACTGTTAAGGGCATTTATAATCCGTATCATACCAACAGGAGAAAAACTGCGTACATCTATGTGACCTTTTAAATACATTTACTGCAGCTGAGGGAATCAGGGAAAGGCCGAGAAAACACAGAAGCCTACGAATGACAGCTGTTCTAGAGGAAAAGGGGCTGGGGAGAACCACAAATGACGAGAAAAAATATACTGGAGTACTGTGTTCAAACAGATGCAAGCGGAGTGAGTAACCTTCTTAATGTTTTGATTTCTGTGTTTCTTTTTCCACTTCCTAAGAAAGAAAACCAAGCATCCAAGCAGGAATCAGCAAACAAACACAGGGCCTAACACACCGACAAAGTCCCAAGGAGCTGCTCCCTACATTTAAAATGTGGGGGCGTGTTAGAACGAGCCGTTTTAGGTAGGTGTGACTGACTCTTAACTTTTATAAAGAATATCTCTTTGGATTTGAGACTTTAGTCTTTGCAACTTTACAGATCTTCTTTATGCACCAAGAGCTTGTAACACTCCAAAGAGAAAGGAAAATTTGAAATCGCATCATATGACCCCTTTAAGCATCGAATGAGGGCCGCAGCACCACCAATCTTGCTCGGACAGATCCGTTCCCATCTCGACTCTGAAAAATGGTGGTACAGTTCACACCTCAAGACTTTGAGCAAATTTGAGCAGATCTTACATGATTCATGTATACCTGGAGCCCTTGAATGTCTTTGCGTAACCGTAACATCATGGTTTTGTGTAAATTGAAGCACGAATCTGCTTAAACTGTGTACCGACAAAGATCCACGGAAGCAACGGTTTCTTAACGACAGCGAAGGCAGAGGTGTGGTCATCCAAGCTAAACATTGTCGCTAGTATCTACAAAACATGATGTGTTCATTTTATTCAATGTTTCAGCAAATAACTTACTAAAACCCCTTGAAATAGAAAATAGCCTCTTTTGTGTACTAGAATACATGCTCGTCATACTATCTAGGTTTTTTTTTTTTCAAATGCAATTGTACAGGTATAAGTTATCGAAGGAGTAATCGTTTCTTTTTTCGATTGAGCATTAGATGTTGAGACGAAGAGCTGGCATATTTATAAATATATTCCCTTATAATGTATATCGTGTTTGATCGTACGTGACTCGCAGTTGAGATGTTGAAGAGTCCATGCACTGAATGGGCAAAATAACACGTGCAGCATGAGATCGTCGCGCCCATTCCTGTATATCAAAAATTCAGATCGAACGACTTTTACGCAACACACCTGACGCTGACCCTAAACCAGCTTTTGAGGCCACTGTCTGTACACAACCATAAAAAGTCACATGTATCATGGGTAATAAAAAGCACTGGTACCCTCTCTCTAGCTAAGTCGTTATTCATTAAAATGAAATCAAATAAAACAGATAAAATTTTTTCCATTTCCGATAGTCACGACAGGGTTTCTGCGAGATTGTTGGTTGATGAAGAGGAAAGAGGAAAGTGTGAATATGAGAAGTGAATCTGTAGTGTTCCATAAATACCAGAGGGAGGACAGGTGAACTGTGACACCACTGAAGGGGACTACTGTAGACAGAGCGGAGGGAGACGTTTTGGGGGATTCACAAGCCTTGTTTGGCCAGGGCGGCGGTCACATCATCGGCCAGCGTGGCCAGCTGTGGCGACTCCAGCATGTTGATGCTTCCAGACGAAGACATGTGGCTGTGCCGGTGAGGGGAGGTGCCGCCTGACAGCCGGAGTGTCTCGATCACAATCTCCGCCCCGTGATCCACGCGTGCTTTAGCCACGTCACGGAACATCATCTTATGGCTTTCGATCTTAGCAAGCAGGAAACAGGAAGTCGGTAACGGTCACTTAACATGACTTCATGTATGATGTGGGATGGGTAAGAACTCACCTGTACAAGTCCTCCTCCAGGCGTATGGTGGGCGTTCTCCAGGGAGCCCACCTTTGCATGGGCTTTGTCTCTGAAGTCCAGCTTCACACTCTCAATGCGCACATTACCACCGCCTGAGACGCAGACAGAGTCATAAAAGAGTCATTTAATCAATTTCTCATTTCTCTCCTGGACAAACAACTTGACTTTTTTATGAAGGTAAAGATCTACACTACAGTTTTAAAAATTTTAAATGTTTTTTAATCTTTTTGAAAAAAAAGTCTTTAATGTTCACCAAGGCTGCATTTTTTTAAATATATATAAAACATACAGTTAAAACAGAAAAAGATTACCACCGCCTGAGACGCAGACAGAGTCATAAAAGAGTCATTTAATCAATTTCTCATTTCTCTCCTGGACAAACAACTTGACTTTTTTATGAAGGTAAAGATCTACACTACAGTTTTAAAAATTTTAAATGTTTTTTAATCTTTTTGAAAAAAAAGTCTTTAATGTTCACCAAGGCTGCATTTTTTTTTTTAATATATAAAACATACAGTTAAAAAAGAAAAATATTGTGAAATATTATTACAATTTAACTGTTTTCTATCTTAATATATTTTAAAATGTAATCTGTTCCTGTGATGGCAAAGCTGAATTATTAGCAGCTATTAATCCAGTCATCAGTGTCACATGATCCTTTAGAAATCATTCTAATATTATGATTTGATGCTCAAGAAACATTTCTTATTATTATCAATGTTACAAACTTTGATAACTTTAAGATCTGATGCTTAATATTTTTTTGTGGAAAACATGATAAATTTTTTCAGAGTTCTTTGAATAGAACGTTCCAAATAACATATATTTAAAATATAAATCAATTTTTGATCCTTTTTATAAATGTAAAAGGCATCAATATAATGCTTTTACTCAATTAATTGCATCCTTCATTTCTTTACTGACTCCAAAATTTTGAACAGCAGTGTATATTTTCCAAAATCCATATAAAGCATGAAAGTATATAAAATCTGTAGCCTACAGTGTGTTTAATCCAGTCATCAGTGTCACATGATCCTTTAGAAATCATTCTAATATTATGATTTGATGCTCAAGAAACATTTCTTATTATTATCAATGTTACAAACTTTGATAACTTTAAGATCTGATGCTTAATATTTTTTTGTGGAAAACATGATAAATTTTTTCAGAGTTCTTTGAATAGAACGTTCCAAATAACATATATTTAAAATATAAATAAATTTTTGATCCTTTTTATAAATGTAAAAGGCATCAATATAATGCTTTTACTCAATTAATTGCATCCTTCATTTCTTTACTGACTCCAAAATTTTGAACAGCAGTGTTCCAAAATCCATATAAAACATGAAAGTATATAAAATCTGTAGCCTACAGTATGTTCTTTGAAATACAATAGCAAAAATTATTTGAAATTGAAATCATGATGCTTTTTTTAATTACTGGAAAGAGCCTGCAAGATTCTTATAGCAGAAAATCTCACCTTTTATAAATGTGCATAAAAAAATCATTCGAAATGGGTTTGGAAGACATTAAAAACCTAACCACAAGATGGCACTGTTGTATCATCCAATAATCTAGCTCGGGCATTCCATGCTTTAAAAGCAACCTGCATGACACTGCAAATTTCCAATCTGCGGTTAAAATTTCTAGAACTCCTTAGCATGCTCACCTGGCCTGTGGCGGATGTTATCCAGTGAGCCACACTTGGAGGTCACATGACTAAGATCAATCTTCTTAGACTGAATTTGAACCTGTGAGAAACACCATAAATTGAGAACAAAATATAAAACAGACTGGATATTAAATGCAAGGAGTTGCCCAGTTCTTCTTCACATATGATGCTGCAATGTAAAAAAAAAAAAACAGCTTTGCCTAAAAAGTACTGAGCAATAATTGATGAGTTAAACAGTTAAAAGTCACCCGAGAACT